GCCTCCAGAGGGGACCCGGGGAGGAGCCTGGGCTGGTCTAGGCCTCCTCCCCCACCCAAACCAGGCAACGCCTTCAACCTCCTCTCTCCGACTTGTGTAATGTAAATGCTATATTCACACACACGCACGGAATTTTTGCTTCAGTAAATCAGCCCAGCAGCCAGCTCCCTCTCGCAGTGACTCAGCGTTCCCAGTGCAAGCTGCCTCTCCACTCCTAACTGCCGGAGGCCCCGACAGAGCAGAATAAAAATCCCACTGCCACAGTTTGACTTTTGCTTTTCATCCTTTTTTTTAACTTCCCAAAGTGGGGGAATAAAGGGTACTTTTTGAGTGGGTAAAATCAACTTTGAAAGATAAGTACAGTCAGACATTGATTGTAAGAGTTTTCATCCCTCTGTATTGGCTTTGAGGGTGAATCAGAGAGCTTGTGGTTTAAATAAAACGTCCTGATGCTTCTCCCAGGTTCCTTCAGGTAGGGCCCATCAGAGTGCTTGTTGACATGTGCCTGGTCCTGTGTTATGCACTGAAGTTATAAAGCCGAAAGGCCTCTGGCCTTGCCTGCAGAGTTTTGACCAACTAGTGAGGGGAGCAGCTGTCAACAGCAGTGTGCGTTGTGATCGCCACCAGACCAGGTGGCCCCATAGGCCTCGCCGTTTGTTTTCTGATGGTGCTGGGCTGTTTGGCTTGCAAGGAATAGAAATCAGTTGAGTTCTTAGGCGACAGGCATTTACTGCAATCATCACAACAGCAGTGTTTGTGTCAGTGGGCATTTGTGCCGAAGAGACTCTACGGGCTGTCCGTCCTCTCCCCACCCTTCACCACCTGCTCTGGGCCCCGGCAGGTGGATTTCCACGTTGTGCATCCGCCGAAAATGCCTTGCACTTTGGCTTCCAATTGGATTGGTCTTTGAGTGGCATGGGCTGGAGCTCAGAGTGAAGGAGGAGAGGGCTTGGGGGTCTGTGACCCCTCCTCTTCTTCCCCGTAGGGCCAACTGGCCCAGCCGCACCCTTGTCCGGAGCCCACAGTTCCTGTCCCGCCATCCTCTTGAGAGATTGCTGGGTGTCTTGCCCCTCCCCCACCCCATCAAGCCAGGAATGGTAAAGGCCCCCTGCAGGCACTAGCCCCAGGCTGCTCCACCATCCTTTGTTGGTATCCCTGCGTCTCACCCACGCCCATTTGTAAATGGTCCCTTACACTCTCAATTAGCCAAATGAGGGTCCAGTCCAGACCCAGACTGCTACCTGGTTAGAGAGCGTTCAACATGGGCCTGTCTGCTTTCTGCCTTTTCTATCCGTTAACTCATTCAGTCATCATCACAGTCCCATGAGGTACATACCAATACCAATATTAGCCTGGTTCACAAAAGAGGAAATTGAGGCACAGAGAGAGCAATTAATTGCCCAAGTGCACCCAGGAGTAAGCGGCAGGGCCAGCATCACACTCAGGCAGTCTAACTCCTGATGCTCTTCTGTGTTAGGATATGTAAGGGAATAGGAACATATGTGTCTGTTTTTGCTGAGAGCACAGGCCCAGCCATACACACAGGCTTCTGGAGTCTGGAGTGTCGTTCAGAAACAGAAAGACCCTCCAGGCCACTCTGAGGATCCTTCCCTATCTCATAGCTCCCAGTACTGCCACATCACCGTGACTCAGCCACACTGTCTCTGCCCCTCCTGTCACCAGCACCCTGCCCCTCTCTGCTCTCCTCTTGCCCTCAGCGCTTCTGCCCAGAGCCTTCTCTGCGTGCCCTTTAATTTCTAACCTCCACCACCTGCTGCTGACACAACCCACTCCCCCACCCCTGCCACTGCCCGCCGCAAGAGGGGGCCTGCTTGATTGGGCCAGCCACTAATCAGGTGGTCTGTTCCACTCCGAAAGTCACTGGCCTGGCCCTGGGTCAGGAGCTGCATGGTCACCACAAAGGGATGGGGGTCAGTGGAAAGCCACCATCAGCTGCGCTGCGGGATTGTTTCGTGGCTGAGAAAACAGGAACCTACACGAGCCCTTCTGCCAGGGCAGAGATACGGGCATTCCCGTGGGAGATGAAGGACAGACCTTCTTACCACTTCTAACAGTTCTGGAGACACTGGTCATGTGCTGGCTCTCCTTGAGAACGAGAAGCCGATACTAAATAACTCCTGTATACTACCACAAGCTAGGTGAGGCCAGACTTAGTTTCTCAGGAGCATGGCGGCAGACTCGGGCCTCAGGCCTGTCCCAAGTCCATCCCTGTAGATGTCCACCTCAGGCAGTAGCTATGGCCAGAGTGGATGGGCCAGCTGTACAGAAGGACGAAACCAGGCTGGCGATAGACAAGAAGCCACTCAGACCTTCTCTTCTCTGTACCTTCTCTGACCTCTCTGGGTGTCGCAAGCCCCCAGATTCTGAGACACTCTTCTGTGAACATTCCTCATGCGCCCTCCACTCCGGTGTCTCTGAACTTTCCACAGGTTCCAAACATAAAGCATTCATAACCTTCCCTCAGCCTAGAAAGTTTTTCTCCACTTTCCTCCAGCAAATTACCTGCCACTCAAGAAAACCTCCCCAGATACTCCAAACTGGATCAGTTGTCCCCTCGCCTGTGCCCCGACTTCTTCGTTTTCTGGAACAATACTCATCATGTCCCACTGCCAGTTTTTAGCTGTCTGTCTTCTCTTAAACCACAAGCTCCTCACGAACAAGGCTAGTGACTGATTCCTTTTTATATTTTAGGGCCCTTCCCCAGACCAGGAACATATTAGATGGTCCCCAAGTGCTATTAAAGAAATGAATAGATGAAGAGGTAGAAACATAACCAGAAAGTAGCAGATAGATAGGAGGGTGACTGTTGTTTCCCACAGGGAATAGAGGGGAGGCGGGAACAGGCAAGGAGAGAAAGCCAGCACAAGGGTGTGATATCAGCTGGTCACGTGGGGATATCTGGGGCCTAATCCCACTGGAGGCTTCTGAGTCATGTAGAAGGACCTGAAAATTACCCACCTGACAGACAGAAGAGGGGGGCCTTCGCCCTTCAGTTCCCATCCCCCATTGACCAAAGTTTGCCCCGCAGCATGGTGAGTCCCTCACATACCCAGAGGGCAACCAGGAGGCAAGCGTGTCCACCCTGCAGGGTCAGGCAGCAAGTGTGTGATTCCCAGCACGGTTCAAGTGAGAGCTGTTGGGCCGCACGTGCACAGAGCTGTTGGCCACAACAGTGGCTAGAGTGGCAACTGCCAAAAAGGATGCCAAGCATCCATGCGTGTCTACAGAAGGCGTAGATATTAAGGCCAGAAAAGCAGGGCGAAGGTTATCCTGCGGAGGGTCTGGAAAATCAGCCTACGGTGTAACAAGGTAGGTTTCCCAGAGCCGTTACGAGTTTCTATACAATGTAGTAATGTATATGGCAGCACCAAGGTGTGGCCTGGGTTAGCTGTGGTCTGGTCCCTCCATGAACCAATAAGCCCTCTCCCCAGACCTCTGCAAATGAACAGAATTTAGCAAGAACCAGTGCAACTGCTATACTCCTCTTCCCATCGATCCATAGCCAAGCCCAGACAGGCCCCTTGAGTCAGAAATACTAAGCACCAGTTTGTACGACCATCTCTCTCTCCCTCCCTCCCTCCTCCCATGACAAAATCCCCATAAACATACTTTTTAAATATTTCGTTCTTTGTGTTGTGCATCTTTAAGATCTAAAGAAAGAGAAGCTTGGGAAGCTTTACGAAAAAAGTCAGTCACGAGAGGCTTCCTTGTTGCAACCCAGCAGGGTCTTTAGCTACTGAGGAAGTAATTCTATTCTAATTTCCAAAAAGGTTTAGAAAAACATGCTAGGTCAAAGAAAAAAAAAGAAAAAAGAAAACACCTTCCAACTGGTAAAGAATCAAGCAGAATACACCTGGCAAATGCCATGATCCTACTCTTTCAATTTCTTAAGCAATTCTATCAGGACAACGAGAGCTGGCTTTGGGGGGCACGTAACACTTACACTCTGTGTTCGCGGTGTTTCTCTATTTTACCTCCTGACTCTGGTGGCACATTCATATGAATCTCCTCCAGAGTTGCTTTCTTTGTTCTTTTGAGATAAACTGGATTCTCTTGAATAGTCCGAGATCAAAGGCAAGAGGAAAGATTAAGATTTTTTTTTTTTTTGAACATGAGTTCTAGCCTGGAGTTCACCAAATGTTTTCAGTGGTGATGACACTATGCAGACAAGATTATAGAGTTCTGGTGTGACGTTTAATCAAAACTTTATATCTGATCAAGGGCACGGTCACCGTTGGTGACAATGGAAGTTACCCATCACCCAGAAAGTCTGCTTCTGGGAATTTATCCTGAGGAACTAATCAAGAATCTGGGGTAAGATTTAGCTGTAAGGATATTCACCAGAGTGCTCTTTAAAAGAAAATTTAGAAGCAACATAGATTCCCAAAAGAAGGGGATTAGCTAAAGGTAGGATCACCATACAATGGAATACTATGTTCCATGCTGCCATAAACGTAAACACTGTGTGTTCACATACACACATACACACACGCACACACACACACACATGCCCGGACATAAAGTGAAAACTAAACAATCTGTGGTATTCCTCAGATTTGGGGAGATGGGATTATGAGTAGTTTAGATGTTCTCTTTGGTTCCTTTTCCCATTCTGAGCACAAACTGCTTTTGTACTATAGAAAGAATAATTAAAGAATAGTCCTATTGGGGGGGGAGTCCCATGGCTCATGTACAAGCTGATCAGCATTTCTCTCTTTTTCCAGGCTCCGCTCATGGAATAGTTTAGTCCAGTAGACATCCAGCTTCCCTAGGACATGCCAAATACAAATTTCTGGGCACACAACAGTGATGGTGTGGTATGGTTCCGGGTCTTGAAGAACTCATGTCAAGTGGGAACACACATACCTTAACAAGAAGTCATCAAAAATCCAAGGGAAGCCTACAATTTCAAGCACAACTGTCCCTATCCCCCAAGATCAGATACTACAGTAAAGTGTTTGAAAGGCAGCTCTAGGGGCGCCTGACTGGCTCAGTCGGTTGAGCGTCCGACTTCGGCTCAGGTCACGGTCTCGTGGTCTGTGGGTTCGAGCCCCACGTCAGGCTCTGTGCTGACGGCTTGGAGCCTGGAGTCTGCTTCAGATTCTGTGTCTCCCTCTCTCTCTGCCCCTCCCCTGCTCATGTTCTCTCTCTCTGTCAAAAATGAATAAACATTAAAAAAAAAAAATAGAAATACGAAAGGCAGCTCTATACTAACATAGGCTCCCAAATGCCTCCCGTCATAGCCTCCCCTCAGAGGGGCCAACTCACAGGAAAAGCTAAGTCTTCTCACGAAGGCCAGCCAGCATATAGAGTGTACAGCATGGGAGAAAATGTCTAGAAGCTTCTTTATGGCAGACACATGTAGGTGGAATCTGAGTAATGCTGAGGTCAGCCTTCTAGCGGCAATACCCTTCTGATACAGTAATATTTCCCTCCTGTAGAAGAATACTACAAGACACTCTATTAAAGAAAGACGTTTCATTTTCCTTTATACTAGACGGTTTAGATCTGGTCTGCCTTTCAAGTGTGCCATTTTTTTTTTTTTTTTTAATTGCAATTACATGTTGCCCCCTCGTGTTCATTGATATTATTGCACCCTGTTGTAACAGGGCAAGGATGAGGTGGAGGGAGGTCTGGGCCCTTGACTTCCCCAGAAGGGGAAAAATGAATGTAGTGGATATGTGATAGGACTTGCCAAGGTACACAAATAACAGCCATTTATATTTAAGCAAAATATAAGCCGTGGCTCTATTTTTTTTCCTGTAACAATGTTAAATCTTTTAGTTTTTGACCCGGATAATAACAGGTAATATTTAGCATGCACTTACCATGTGCCAGGCACGATGCTAAGTGTACTGCATATATTAACTCACTTAATGCTCACAACAATCCTAAGAGGGGAAAACTATTAGCTGCTCTGAGCTTGTGCAGTACCTCACAATTCAAGGGAGGATATAGGCATGAAATGTCACATCAAAACAAAGCAAACAAAGCTGAAGGGCCCAGGACCCGCAGAGAGAGTACAGGAATGAAGAGCCACATACAGATGGCCGGGGCTGTGTTCCATAATCTCGTCACATTCGTTGTCGCTGATGCTACCTGGATGATGTGCTTTCCGTTTACCCGCAAAAGTAAGCCATCTGTTTCTTCTTAACAGCTTATTGAGATATGATCCACATATCGTACAATTCACCCACTTCAAGGGCTGCCCATTAGCGGGCACTCCCCATCTCCCCAGCCCCCGCTGATCCTAGACAACCACTAATCTACTTTTTGTCTCTGTAAAGTTGCCTATTGTGCATTTTCTAACAGTGGAGTCACGTACTACATGGTCTTCTGTGACTGGCTTCTTTCACTCAGCACGTTTTCAAGGTTCATCCACGTCGTAGCATTGCGTAGGTACTTCATTCCTTTTCGCCGGCAAATAATATTTCATTGTATGGATATACCGCACACTGATCACGCATTTACCAGTTTATAAACATTTGGGTTACTGGGATGCCTGGCTGGCTTAGTTGGTTAAGTGTCCGTCCAGCTCTCGATCTCAGCTCAGGTCATGATCTCACAGTTCCTGGGTTCCAGCCCCGTGCCAGGCTCTGCGCTGACAGCAGGGAGCTTGCTTGGGATCCTCTCTCGCCTGCCCTCCCTGCCCCTACCCCACTGGTGTCCTCTCCCTCTTCAAATCAATAAATAAAAACTTTAAATAAAAGTAAACATTTGGATTATTTTCACTTTTCGACTATTATGAATAATGCTGATATAGACATTCATGCACAAGCTTTCATATGGACATGTTTTCATTTCTCTTAGGCCTATGTCTAGAAGTGGAATTGCTGGGATGTATGGTGACTCTGTGTTTAACATATCAAGGAACTGCCGGACTGTTTTCCAAAGTGACAGCACCATTTTGCTTTCCCACCGGTAGTATAGAAGAGTTCCAACTTCTCCATTCTCCCAACACGTGTTTTTTTGACTGCAGCCATCTCAGTGAGTGTGAAATAGTATCTCATCGTGGTTTTGTTTTGCATGTCTCTGATGGCTAATGATGTTGAATGTATAAAACCATCTCTTTTTTTTTAAGTTTATTTATTATTTTTTGAGAGAGAGAGCACGAGCGTGAGCAAAGGAAGGACAGAGAGAGAGGGAGAGCAAGGATCCCAAGCAGGCTCTGCACTGTCAGCACAGAACCTGATGTGGAGCTCCAAGTGACAAATTGCGAGATCGTAACCTGAGCCGAAATCAAGAGTTGGATGCTTAACCGACTGAGCCACGCAGGTGCCCCTAAAACCATCTGGTTTTGATACTGGTAGTACAATAGCCACACAGGCCAAATTCACACAATCTAGTCTGATTTTTATGAACAGCCTAAACATATTGATAAAATAGGAGTAAGGAACAATCAGGAGAGATGGAGTCGAAAATTCTTAAGATGACAGGTCATTCATTTACTTATTCATTTATTTGAGCCCGTTGGAGGTAAGAGACCATTTGGGGTGCTGGAAACAAGGTCGGCAGCCACACCCAGAATAGTTACTGCCCTTTTGGAGCTTAACATTCTATCAGGGGACACTAGCCAAGCAACTATTTACATAATGAAGTAATTATAGTCATGAACGGCTCTGTGAAAGACAAGTAGGGGAGGCTCTGAGACATTACAGAGGGTCCTGACTTCGTCTGAGGGCTCAGGGAAGGCTTCTCAGAGGAAGTGAAGTTTGAGTGGAGATCTGCAGGATGAGTTCATGGTCACAAGAGAGGGTGCTGGCATAGAAGGTGCTGAAGAGGTGGGGGCCATGTGGGGCAAGGAAGCTGAACAAGTGTGAGGGACTGAGAGCTGGCAGTGTGGCCACAGTATAGACACTGAGGAAGGAGGCCAGAGGCACAAGCCAGATCACACGAGGTATGACAACTTGTGTTCAGGGTTTTGACCTTTCTCCCAGAGAGCAATAAGAAGCCACTGTTTGAAGGGTGTTAAGTTGGGGAGCTGAGTGATAGGATTGGATCTGCACTTTTAAATGATCACTCTGGCTGCCATTTAAAGAATGCAAAGATAAGAAGGAATGCAAGCAAAACTTTCAGGAAGTGATTTTAACTAATCCAGGTCAGCGATAAAGGTAACTCGAGCCCAGAATTGGGGACAGTGGAGATATTTGAGAAGTAACTAGGAGAAATTTTGAAGAAACCTAGTCAACGATTAGATTCGGGGGCCAGGAAGTGGAAGATGTCAAGGATGACTGTGCAGTTGGATAAATAATGGCGCCACAGACTTGATAATGGGATTCTGAGGGAAGGAGCAGGTTGCAGATGGGAGATCTCATGAGTTTATTCCAGAGAAGCTAAAGTTAGGTGCCCAGGAAGTACTAAGTGGAGAGGTGGAGTGGACAGTCTGAAATACAAGTTTTGAACTCAGAGGAAAGATCCAAGCTAGATCTCCTCAGGGAGAGACTCACGTGGGACACTCAAGGTACAGATGGTAAAGGTGGAGCCTTGGGTGGAGATGAGCTGATTTAGGGGAAAGGTGTGGAATTAGAAGAGAAGGATCCCACTGAGGAGGCAAGAGTCACTGCAATATTCAAAGTCACATGGAAGAGGACTCACCAGCAGAAGAGGCTCAGGAGAGATTAAAGAGGTAGGATGAGAACTGGGAAAGTTACTTGAGTCATGAAATAAGAGTTTCAAGAGAGAATGATCAACAATATTAGAAACAACACAATGACCACTGGATTTAGCAACACAGAGGTCACCGGTGACCTTAGCAGGATTCAATATGTTAAGTGGCAGGGGCTGAAGTCAGGCTGGAGTGAGGTGAGGAACCTGAGAGGAGACAAGCAGGCAACTCCTTCAAGAACGAAGGGGGTGAAGGGCAGAAGAGAGAGGACAGCTCAAAGGAGATGTGTGGTCATGGAGGTTCGCATTTAAGATGGCAAGCTGAGGCATATTTAAATGTGGATGAGAAGGACCCACCCTACTGACAGAGACAGGAGGATGATGGCACAGAGGTGACAAAGCTGAGCGACGAAGAGTTCGGTTTCTGAAGCCAGACCTCTTGAATTCAATTCTGGCTCCTCTATCTGCTGCCTGTGTGGCTTTGAGTGGTATTTTGGCTTCTCTGTGCCTCAGTTTCCTCATTTCTAAAATGTAGGGGGGAAAAACGGAACTACTGTTGGGAGGGTTAAATAAGAGCACTTACGGAGAGGGATGAGATTTGGGTAGAGTCACTTTGCCAACGCAGGATGTCGGAACCACACTGACCATCTTCACCAGTCACCTAAGCTTTGCTCTTAGAGACCCCCATTTGCTCCCTCAGAAATTCCGCAGCAACTACCAGATAAATCCTGATCCAAAGGGGGTGATGGTAAACTGTTTCTACAATTAAAAATAAAGCACCTTGGGGCACCTGGGTGGCGCAGTCGGTTAAGCGTCCGACTTCAGCCAGGTCACGATCTCGCGGTCTGTGAGTTCGAGCCCCGCGTCAGGCTCTGGGCTGATGGCTCAGAGCCTGGAGCCTGTTTCCGATTCTGTGTCTCCCTCTCTCTCTGCCCCTCCCCCGTTCATGCTCTGTCTCTCTCTGTCCCAAAAATAAATAAACGTTGAAAAAAAATTTTTTTTTAAATAAAGCACCAACAGAATGTGAGCATATGCTCACCAGAAGTCACAAACTAGAACGTTCAGAGAAGCATGATTCACAACAGCCTCAGACTGGAAACTACTCAAATACCCATCAACAGAATAACCAATAAATAAGCTGGTATATTCAGACAATGATTACCGTAAGGCAACGAGAATACATAATCCACCACGACACACAGCAGTGAGCATGAAGCCAGGTGCAAAAGAATGTATGTTGTATGGTTCTATTTATATAAAAGGACAAAAATGGACAAAACTAATCAACACTGTTAGCTACCAGGACAGGGATTTCTGCTGAGGGTGGGTAGTGACCAGAAGTGGGGGAGGTTTAGACAAAAGGGGGTTTCCTGGGGGGATGCTAACATGTACTGTAATCCTAATTTTTAAGAAAACATTAAATAAAGGACCTATATGGAAAAAATACTGCTGGATATGCT